GCTCGCTTTTCATTCATTTCATCGCATTTCATCTTAGTCATCTCACAAGCTAAAAATCAAAAGGAAACATTTTATGACATCTTGAGCAGAAGATTTGAAGTGAAGTTCTGACAGATCAGCATGAAATCTCTTCCCATATGGTGCACAGACATGTGCTTCGGTTCAGAAAGGAACTGTTCCTTCTGCATTCGCTTTGCGCCAAGTCCATCACCACATTGTACTTTTTCAACGATTACCATCAATGTTTGAGTTTAATGAACTCATTTGTGATAAAGATAAAAGTAAAAATACCAATTTTACAAACACTAAATTACTGCTTATTCTGAAAAGGAAAAAAAAACAGTTTTTTGTTCCAAAATGTCTTTTAGCTGGAAATAAGAAAACTCTGATCAAAGCCTCGACACTCCAGGGTAAAGCTTCCCTCCTCTTTTCCACTCGTATTTTTCAGCAGCAGTTTGGGAACGTCCAGGTACACATTAGAAGGATGACTCGGACGGGCTGGGTAGAGGTTGATCCCGGAGTTTCAACCTGAAAATAGCCTCTCTACCTTCTATTCCTCCTTTATCACTTTGCAATACTTCTCCTCGCTCTGATGCACTTCAGCACTCATTTTCTTCATATTTATCACCTGCCCCAGAAAGTGTTTGTTAGCTAGATAGCTCTTTCACCACTGGATGGATTTTATTTAAAATTTCAGAAGTAATCACTAGATGAGCATCTACAGAAGGCCACAGCAGCCAAGTGACCTGACAGATTCTGAAAATGCTTGTCTTAACTCTAACACGCCGGTTTTTAACAGACGCAGTGGCTTTAGTGACAGCTTCTGGTGTCAAATCAAAGACTAAACAATTTGTCAAAGCAACAGTTTAAATCAAGCACACCAGTTAGTGGCTCTGACTGGACTTTGTGATCTCCATCGTTTTCATTGTCATGCTTCTTCTGAAGCTTTTTCTTTTTTCACATCCTCTCTCTTCATTGGCTCCTGGCAGCATGTGTTAGCAGATTCTGCTCCCCATATGTGTTTGATTGTCTGGGCCTGAGGTCGTGTCAGGTCTGTTCCTCTCACTCACCAACAGATTTTTGTGCCAATAACCAAACCAGCTTGGCCCAACTAAGAATTTTAGGGGGAAAAAGGCAAAAAAAACCTGGGGTTTTTTTGTCTGTAGCTCAAGAAAAAATTCCTCTGTCTGTCAGTTTTACAACTATTCACATGCATTTTTAATGAGTAAAAAGCGCTCGTAACGTTGTTTTAAAGTGTCCTCGTCCATACGATACCTCTTGTCATTTTTAAAAAAGGATCATTTTATTTAAACTCAGACATGAAATGTGATTTTCTGTCATTGAATTCATTTTTGGCCCTTTATTTATTTTATCTTTTTACTGAAGGTGATTTTTTCTCACATTTTTATTTATTTTTGCTCATATGTAATACTCTCCTCCTGGTCTCCTTCCATCCAAACACAAAGGAGCTCCTTTTGGGAATAAGTTAGCTTGGGCTTCATGTGGCTTGAAGGGCAAAGACAGACATTGGGGGACAGGGGGAAGGAGAGAATTGATTTTCCAGTTGGAGAGGCCGTCCAATGGTGGACCTGGTCTGCCCTCGGGGCTGCGATTGACTGGAAGCAGCTCCTGATGGGAGGACCAGCCGCTGACCTTAAGACTAAACTGATGGTGTTTTTGCTGTTCAAAGGCATATTTGTTTGGATGTCTTTAACTCCATGTTGAGGAGATTTTGTTCATCGTTGAAACATTTTGCTGTTCTGGAGCCTGTTTGTCCTCCAGGAGGAGCTCAGCTCAGCATTCCCCCCCCGGAATGAGACAGGACCAGGATGAGAGACAGACAGACCCGTGCTAAACAGTGCCATTGGCTGGCTGGCAGCCATGACAGATGGGGGGAGTTAAGTTCACGAGGGTTGCCATGGTAACCAGCATCGGCGCTACCTTGAGCCTCAGAGCTGAACATGCTCTGCAGAGGAGTGCGGCGTAGGCAGAAGAATCTTTTTTTCTTCTTCTTTTTTTCATATTGTTTATGACTTGTTTTTGTGCAAAAAGTTGGTGTCAGCAGGTTCAGAACCAATCTGGATCAGAGGGACTCAGAATGACAGAAGAATACAAGTGTGATGAT